GGCTCAAAATGGGATTTTATTCAATAGAAGCGCATACAAAGGATAGACTGGTTTCCCCCCCCCCCCCAGTCCACAAGCTCCATGTTGCCAAGTTGCCCGGAGTTGCCGCTGTGAAACTCATGGCTTGAATTGACTGATCTTAAAGAGTTAGTATTTCATTAGTCCTATCTACAACTGTGGCATTTTTCGATGTGTGGTGACACTCAACGGGAGAGGACTACATCCTGTGTCACTGGGTGTAATTATACATTTATGATGGCTGCTAACCGATATATATATATATATATATATATATATATATATATATATATATATATATATATATATATATATATATATATATATATATATATATATATATATATTTATTTATATATATATATATATATTATTTACACATTTGGAACAAGTTTTTGCTCTTGAGCTTCGAAATCTAAAAATTAATCGTTAACCTAAAGAACATTAGAAGTTCCTGAATTAATTATAAATCCCGTTGTTGAAGACAGGAATAGCTTGTACTTAAGACTTGTATCGAGTCCCCCTTCCCCTCCCCCCCTCCCCCCCCCACACAACCCCGCTCCCTAGGTCGAGCTACTGACCTCCCCCAAGATTCAACTTCATAACAGTTGCCTAACTCCTTGTTACCTATTGAATACTAGGTAAACAGAGGCTTCAGGTGACAGGAAATGTGTCCCAACCATTTCTGTACCACCTGGGGGATCAACCCAGGCTTCAAGTGTGAGTCGAGGACTTAGACCACTGTACTACAGGACTGTAGCCCATCCACCACCTCCCATAGGATGGTCTAGAGCTCATAATAAATACCAAGCAACTGGCGTGCGTGTATGTGCGTGCGTGCGTACGGGAAGCCAGGGTATTGATCGCGCGTGGAGGCGGGCTGGCAGCAGGGGTGTGTTGGAGGTGTGTCTCAGAGTTGCTCGCTGAGCGGCCGAGCCGGCCACCGCTTGGGGGTGTGGTGGCGGAAAGGGGGGTGGGGGACTTGTCGGGGGTGAACGGGGTTATTGGGGGAGGAGAGGGGACGAGTTGGGTGGGTGTAGACGCCCCTACACACTCCACCACCACTCTGGCAACACACACACCCACCACTCCACTCTGCTCACCACTGGCTGGACCTGCCGCACTGTTGCTCCCTCCAGCTTTTAATACACGATCGTCTACTGGGACGTGATGCAAAGCTGATGATTCCTTATGATAGTAAATTGTATATATACTCATCTATCGACCCACTAGTAGTTCAATTATTAATTTATTTGATTTATTGTGCACTCTATTTCCATACTGTGAGCGCTAGTGGGAAAGGTTACAGTGGGATATAGTAGGCTCAGAAACTTAAACCCAAAATTCATTTAAGTAATCAGGATTGTGTTGGTAGCTAGTATCAGTGTAATTTGTATATTAACTATTTTATAACATAATGGGGTCAAGAGATAGACCACACTAAGTTAAACAATCAAGAGATAGACCACACTAAGTTAAACAATCGAGAGATAGACCACTCCAAGTTAAACAATTTACATTTGTGATAAGCTGTTCCTTATGCGGTATTACAAATAGTTTAGGGATGTTTATTTTACCCATGTCAGTTATTAACTTAATTTTTAATAATATTGTTTTATATATATCAAGATTCTTAAAGGCCACGTGGAGTTTGCAAAATTTTATGAGTTTAGGAATTTCATCAATGTTGTAATTCTCTCTCTCTCTCTCTCTCTCTCTCTCTCTCTCTCTCTCTCTCTCTCTCTCTCTCTCTCTCTCTCTCTCTCTCTCTCTCTCTCTCTCTCTCTTTCCGCTAGCAAAAATTAGAACGTCATTCAGAAACCTAAGTAAGGAGGCTGGGGAAATTGAATGAATTAATGGATCACATTGTGGAATCAAACACCATTCATAGCTTTAAAACTAGGCATGATAGAGAAGTAGGACAGAAGCCATTGCTTAAACAACCGAAGGTTAGAAAGGAGGGATCCAAGAGCCAACGCTCGATCCTGCAGGCACAAATAGGCTAGTACACACACACACACACACACACACACACACACACACACACACACACACACACACACACACACACACACACACACACACACGCTATAACAATATATAAGATCCTAAGGGGGAATTGACAAAATAGAATTGTTTCAGGCTAGGAACAGCAGAAAGAGGGGTCATGAATGGAAACTAGAGACGCAAATGAGTCACAGAAACATCAGAAAAAACGTTTTCAGTGTTAGAGCTGTGAATACGTGGAACAGGATAGACGTAGAAGTCGTTGCAGCTACTGTAATTGGATTCAAAGTTTTAAATGTAAATATGACGAAAACATGGGAAATGAGTCATTGCATTAATCTAAGAACGTTCGGAAGACGGAGCTAGGAGCCTAACTCGGCCCTGCAAGCACCTCTTGGTGAGTACACACACACACACACACACGTGCGCGCACACACACCTGTACACTCTATACATCGGTGCTCATAGACACATGTACACTCCACACTCCCTATTAACATCCCCTCACAACGCTCGTCCTTAAAGTCAAACTGCTGTGGATTCCGGCTTACATTGGGCTGTAGGAACATGATATTGTTACACACAGAAATCACAATAGCGTGATGCATCAAATGAACAAATCCTGTTCAAATGATTAAGGCAGCGTCTGGGACCCTCTCGGACGTAGGTTCGAACCCTCGTCACGGCCCTTGTGGCTTTGTTCATGATATTGTTGACACCCTTGCTCAGCTTGCGGTAAATAAAGACAATGTTGAACTTAATATTGACCTATCAAAATAGAACTCTTAAGAGTGGCATAAAACGAGAAAGAACTATTATATGAATTTGAAGAATGCAAAAAGAGTGCACACATGAACTAGCTCATCAAGATTGTAACTTACTTAGCTAAATGAATTGTGGGGTTCAGTCCCTGAGCCCATTATGTGCCTCTGTAACCCTTTCCACTACCGCCCACAAGATGGGTATGGGGTGCATAATAAATGAACTAAACTAACATGAACTAACAGATCCATTGTTTATCACACTGAAATGTGCTAAACAAAAAACATTTGGATGAGGCAAGTAACGCCGTAGACTGACATAAAGTTGAAAAGTCGGAGCTAGGGAGCTATTGCTCGACCCAGTTAATACATGTAACTGCCTCCACATATACATACACATACACAATCTCAATGTCAGATCCTCCTCTAAAAAAGTACATAACACAACTAGATAAAGTTCAGAGATTTTACCAAATCTTGTGTCAAACCTAATGAGATTGTGGTATGAGGAAATGTTGAGTGAACTAGGCTTCACAACGCTGAAAAAATGAGAGACGCGTGGCATGATTACATAATATAAGGTTCTTGTAGGTAGTCTACAACACCTGAAAATGCCGAGGCAGGAACCTGGAAATCTAGTTGAGCTAATGTAAGGAAGCACTTCTTTGTAAGAGTAGTGAACATGTGAATTGATCTAGAAGGGGAGGATTATCTTGAAGTTAACTCCATACAGAAGTTCAGGAATTGGTATGATAAGAAGCTAGAGGCTCGGGCACCATTGCAACAGGCAACTGGCTGATGCCCATCCTGGAAGCACCTACTGTGCACATCCCCTTTAAGTACGCACGCACGCACGCACGCACGGACCTCACTCGCGCCAAGGCGTAGTTTCCTCGCCGGGTGCTTTCACTTTGTATGTTTCAACCTGATATCATTGTCGCTTCTTCTGCTTACAATTTATCACCCTGTGTCACGTGCTTGTTTTGTGAGGTTATGATTTATTCCATTCATCTGTAATACTGTGGGTATTCGGTGTCATTTCAACAATTTAGTATTTGTTAGAAATTCGTTTTCTTTCCAGCCGGGGTTAACGGGTACGTCGTGTTGCCGGAAGCTAGGCTTATTGTACCGAGGTCCAGCAACTCTCTCCACTGAGAACACCACATGACACGTTATTGATTTTGTATTATTTTACTATGTGGTCTCCTTTGTGTTTGATACCCTTCCGGCAACCCTCCAGCTGGGACCTTACCTTACCTTCCATGACGACAGAACCCTGTAATGCTTCAGCTGGAACCTTAGCCTCCCACGATGACTCGTTATGGTCCTCATCAAAGTCCTCCGTGGAATCTATCACTTGATCCTCGTTCTTAAATTTCCTTCCACCAAGCGCGGCTGTCATATTTGGGAATAGATAAGAGTTTGAGGGGTGTATGGTGAGGCTGGGATGGAGGGATGGATGAGGATAGGCGGAGGCGGGAAAGGTAAACGGAGAGGCAAGTAAGGTACTTGGGGAGGCGTGGGGAGTTAGATGGGGAAGTAGGGAGGGTGCTGCCATTGCTTAGTCTCCTATGGTGCTGCCATTCCTTGGTCTCCTATGGTGCTGCCATTGCTTAGTCTCCTATGGTGCTGCCATTGCTTAGTCTGCTATGGTGCTGCCATTGATTAGTCTCCTATGGTGCTGCCATTGCTTAGTCTCCTATGGTGCTGCCATTGCTTAGTCTGCTATGGTGCTGCCATTGATTAGTCTCCTATGGTGCTGCCATTGCTTAGTCTGCTATGGTGCTGTCATTCCTTAGTCTCCTATGGTGCTTCCATTGCTCAGTCTGCTATGGTGCTGCCATTCCTTAGTCTCCTATGGTGCTTCCATTGCTTAGTCTGCTAAGCAATGGACATATTGAGATATTCTCTCCTGGAATCATTTTCGACGGTGGATCTTCTTGTTCGGTGACCTCATACTCATGGAGGAAAACTCTTCGTACTCTTCCCCTCCACCACCACAAAAACATAAAACGTTCCCCATGTTCTGCCTACCCCTCACTCCCCTCTACCTCCTCACCTACCTGTCTCCCATTACCCCACACCTCGCCCACCTCTCCGCATGGCAACACGCATGAAGACTGGCACATTGTAAGATCACCGGTCAGAAAAGGTGGGTGCTCCATCTCCTCCCAGTGTAGGGCGGTAGGGGCTCATCTCTTTTCTTTTACACAGGTGAGTACAGGAACAAACGACTGACTACTTAGTGTGGGGCTGCATACAGCAATTCCTCCACCCAATGGTGGCTACAGCAGGAGTTCCTTCACCCAGTATGAGGCTACAGCAGGAGTTTTTCTACCCTGTGCGGAGCTACAACAGGAGTTCCTTCACCCGGTGTTGATCAACTGCAGGAGTTCCTCCATCCAGTGTGGGGCTACAGCGGGAGTTTCTCCATCAAGTGTAAGCAAAGTTTACTTTGCCAACACGGTTTCTTTAACATATATTAGTAGAAAACATCTCTCATGTTCCATATAATAGATGTTTTCTCTCTAAGTAAAGAACTTGGTGCAGCTTTATAAATATTATTGTTGACTTTCTTGACAGTGATGCGTCCATTGTTGTGTTATGAGCAGACAGCCTGAGGGAAGCCTCTCTCACTACTGCGCACAGCTGAAGCTTCCACTTTTTTTATGCTTAGATGATGGCGGATTCACCTATTGGTTACAATTGCTACAGATAGACTCAATAAATCCATTTGAGCGCTCCTTGCAATATGCACAATAGCTAGCTCCCTCAGGCGTAACCAACACTACCTCAGTCACCACGCTGACCAGTGAGACCCACTGATTCATTGACCTTTGTCTCATGAACCCACATAAGCTGTCGATATTTGGTTTGGATTATTATCCTCTAACTTGTTCATAATTTTAAAGGTCTCCTTGAAATCAGCCCTGTCAGGTCTGTTTTTTTTTGTTTTTAACAAAGGTGGGTACAAGAATACACGACTGCCGACTCCTGTTAACAGGCTGAGAGCTTTCCCATTCCATAGCCCATGGTAAGTCTAACTCACTAGTTCCCTGGAATACGACCCGCCAACCGTTTAACAACTAGGTACCCAATCATTGCTGGGGTTAACAGAGACATACAGTTAAGGAATGGCGCCTAGTCAGTCCTCCCCGGCATGGATATGAACCTAGGCAAAATCGTGGCCCTCAGTCGTCCGAGGTATGAGAGTTGATCTAGTTCAGGGATGATTTTGTCGCACTGTGTTGAAATTTCCCTCAAAGCAGATATGTCTTTCTGCTAACTGGCCTACGTGTATGTGTAATTACCTAAGTGTAGTTACAGAATGAGAGCTACGCTCATGCGTCCTGTCTTCCCAGCATTCTTTGTCATATAACGTT